AGTTGTCCATTAAGGAAGACAGTCACGGATGTCATGAAAGAAGACAGTCACATTTTTAATGATTTCCAAGGGCCTTAAAGAATTTAAAAGTGGAAATTAGTTTACTTTGAAGATAATAAAAACTTTTTTTATTTACGATACTACTTTAACATTTTTACATGGATACCACAGGTGACTATAAATATGTGAATAGTGGTAAAAACTCAATTCATTTTATCTATTGTTTCTTAAATTAGTCAATTGTAGTCAATTTATTTATATTTAAAGCAACATCATTATTTAAATTCACAGTCAATAGCAAACTGAAAACAATATGCTAAAAATCTTGAAATCTTTTAATAAAATTATGAATTTAATTAATCACCACTTTTTGCATTTTTAGTCGGCAGTGGTAATCCTGGTTTTAGCATAATTTTTTGTTTTGTCCGGATAGCCTGGTTGGTAGGGCACTGGACTCACGTTTGTAAAAATGGGAGTTTGAATCCAGCCGGCCAAGACTCCCCGCGAAGTAAATGCTGACTGGTGCATGTTAAATCTGTCGAGTCACAATGTCCTCCATGCTCCCATAACAAATCGATACCTATGGAGTTGCTGAATTGGAGATGGGTCATTCTCTGGTTCAAGTCAAAATTACGATCTGTGGACGAATGAATGGATGTTTGAATGGATTCACCCTATAAACGGGAGTGACGTATGGATGTGGCGAATTCTTGACCATAGATGGGGACACTGGATACCAAGAACAATCGCATCCTCTCTACTTTAATGCCGACGGCAACAACAACAACAGCTTATATTTTATTTAACAAATAATACATAGTGGGAATCATAACTGTAATGAATGATAGAGGGTTATCTTCTTTTTTTTCTGCCGACAATTGATTTTTCAATTCTCATCTAAAAAAGAACTATTATTGTAAATATCAAATATTGGCATGTACGTGTGAGTAAATGATAACCAAAGTAACGTATGTATCTATCTATTTTGAATTTTAAAAAAACGGCAGTTGTTGAAACAAAAGTAATGCGCGTTAGTGCGTTTGAGCTCTGACAAAATATTACTACGTAGCCTTGTAATTTTGATCCCAATCCAGAAAACAAGAAAAACTCCTGGATCAAGTATTGGGAGACATTTGCCTTTGTAGAGGACTTTTTGATAGAACTAGCTCGCATTTGCCTTTCACGGAGAGGAAAATCGCGAAAACCTTCCATGGATAGTCTGGTTTAAAGGGGAATCTAACCCATGATCCGTCTACCACTGAGGATATTTCTTACCAGCACTTCAGTCGGTACAAATCAGATATCGACCAGCAATTGCTTCAATCGAATCCGGGTCACCAATTTTTTTTTTACGGTTTTGTAAAGAAATACATTTTAACTGGGAGGAAAAATTCTAAGTGAAAATGAAACAGCATACCACTTCGAGATAAATAATGCAACAGATTTTAATGCTTTTCAGATATCGCTTGAGTTTTTATTTAAATAGTGAAGTACACAGTTTTATAAAATTATTAAGCTTTAAAATTTAATATAAACATATTATTTGGTATCGTTCTGCAATTTTTTTTTTCAACAACAAGAAGCCAATATTACTACAAGAGTTTATATAACAACAATATCCAGACTGATGCTTGAAAGGTACAGAGTTCAGTTCAACAGTGGAAGTCTAACCTTGATTCTTCATTTTTTGTCTTATTTTTTCATTTTTCATCTCCATCTCTGAAAAATAATCATGCAAGTTAGATAATGAATTTTTATAAATAGCTAAAAAAAATTTATTTCGACAAAAGAGCTGAAAAATAGAAAAGATGGAAAAATTGTTTAATAGTTTAAAACATAAGAAAAGTGTTTCAAAGTATCAAAAATAGAGGAATATTGTTCACAAATGACTAATGTACGAAAAATATTTAGTAGAGAACAAAGGAAAAATGAAAAAAAAAATAAAAGCAAGAGATAATAATGATGAGAAAAGAAAAGAAAATGGGGAACAAAACATTTATAAAATAATAGAAAAGGGGGAAAATGCTTAACAAAAAAGGCAAAATAAAATATTATAAAAAGGTACACGAGCAAAATTCTGGTTAAAGTGTACAATCGGGGGGGGGGCTCTTGTATTGATGACCAATTTCAGTTGAAAAATTTTGACTAAATTCAGTTTCTCGTTAACATGATACTCTTTCCTAGCTGTCTATGCTTTTAGTGACGTCAACAACGGGACACCACGATTTCTATTTACCGTTATGAGATGGGTCCATAGTTTATTTTCATATATAGAGTCCCGGGCCAAATTATTAGATGCTCTATAAAATTCTATGTAAAATATTAATTATCAGGTGATACTATACAGCTTTGTGCTTTTTAAGCGACTGAAACCGGTTTGCACTTGTTTAAGTTTGTGTATCAATTGGTTAAATTAGACAATATATAATATAAATTCGACGATTAGATAAATTAGACGATATATTAGCATAAATAAAGAATATTTATTATATCAGATATTATATTAGTATATTATAATAATTAAACCAAATTATTAGACGCACTGTAGTGTTTTAATAGTTGCATGTTATGCGCGAGTTCATATGCAATACTTTTACATTTAAACAAACATGTAATGGGTTTTAATCAAAAGATTTTTTTTTATATATACTTCCTATTTGTATTTATTTTTAACGTTTTTCATTACAATGTTAGCCCATTGATACACGAAATTACACAAGTATAAACCGGTTTCAGCCGCTTAAAAACAATAAGGATGTATAGTATTATCCGATAATTAAGGTTTTACGTAAAATCTTATAGTGCGTCTAGTAGGGACGGTAAATAGACATGTTGTCAAATTGCCAAACAAAAGAGAGGCTTGAAGCAGAGATCTGCATTGAAATCCTTGCATCAAATTCTCATTTCTTAGCGATTGTTTTCGGCAAATTCAGTTTCTGTTTTCGAGCAACAAACAGCACACTTTAAAGAGCATGCAAAATACTGCAAAACATGCTTGTATATTTCGCAGAAATATGAACAACTAATGTCATCTGTTAACCCAGATCTCAATAAGCAATCAAGCTTCACAGAAATGCTGAAATGAAATCATGAGTGGGAAAAGAGCGGGTTGCGTAGTTAAATTGACAGAAAAAAATGTATCCTTTCAGAAGTCGTGGGTTGTCCGTAGAAATACTATTTTTGACTATGAAATATCCACTACTATTTACTTTTCTCAAATAAGAGACAGACTTATATTTTACATTTGAAAAAAAAATCTTTCTAGATTAGGATTCACTAGATGTTTTTTTTTCGAGGTAAAAGCAGTTCGATGATTTATTACGAAAAAGCACGCTAAGAATATTTATATAAAAAGCAAAGCACTCGAAACAAAAATTTGTTTTTTCAAAACTGAGAGTAAATTATTTCAGAAAGGAAAAAAAATATCTTTTTTGAGATATCTTAATATTTCATCAGCTTACTTCTTTCGAGCATTCTAATTTTAACATTAACATTCATGAAGTTCCTTGTCATATTATCACATTATTTTTTTTACTACACAATAGCTTACACCTAACTCTACTTACCCGCCAAAATTCCGAACTGTGGATCTGTAAAAAATATATAGAAAAGTTATTACTTCATTATTGATGGTTGCGTATAATGACTAATGGAATCAAAAAGAAATATTAAAAATTAATGGGAAAAAGTTTCTTTCTTACCGGCCATTGTTGGAGCTAGGAAAAAGGAAAAATAGATTTTATCATTGTAAATACACGGTCAAAGTTTCAGAAATAAAAAAAAAATTTGTCATCCAATTTAAGTTGAGCCGTGGTGGCTGCAGAATATAGAGCATTCGCCTTCCAATGAGGTGAACCGGATTTTAATCCCAGCGATGACTGATCGATTCGAATTGCGTACTCGGATCGCACCAACCACAGTGCTGATAAATTTGTCTTCGTGGAGGACTTTTTGATAGAACTAACCCGCATTTGTGTTGCATGGAGAGGAAAACCAAGAAAACCTCCCACGGTTTGGAAGAGGGTAAGCAGACTCTATCCCATGATCCGTCTAACAATGAGAATATTTTTAGTCAGCACTGTTGTCGGTGCCATCCGATTGAGGAATTTGTATTTGAGTTATCATTAATGTACCTTCATTTCCTTAATATTTTTATTCCTCTTTCCTCGTTTTGCCTTTGATACAAAGTTGAGTTGTTTATCAAATGATGAGAGTTGTTAATCAATAGATGATGAGTTGTTAATCAATTGATGATGAGTTGTTTATCAAATGATGAGAGTTGTTAATCAATTGATGATGAGTTGTTAATCAAATGATGAGAATTGTTCATCAAATGATGAGAGTTGTTAATCTATTGATGATGAGTTGTTTATCAAATTTCACCCTGCTGTTTGATTTTACAGTTTATTTTGATGATCTCGTTTATTTTTTTTAAATTAGCTATAAAGCTTTCGTATTGAATTCTCTTTCTTCCTTAAACTGCCTCCTTGCTTATTAGTTGCTTATTAAGAGTATTAATACATTTTGCTAAGTATAAAACTGAATTTGTTAAGTCTGCACTTTCTATGATGCATTCTTTTAAGATGGCACCTGTCGTCGGAAATAAAAGCCCTGAGATAGTTTTTTTTTCTTTTTGCTCTTTGATTCATTCTTTCAGCATCAAAATGTCTCCCTAAATTTAATGCTCATCAGTCGTTGCAAAATTTTCTAGTTTGATAAAAATATTGTCAGCTATATTACATTCGACCCTACAGGCTTCAACTGTTATAATCGCCATATCGTCAACTATCGTCGCCGTATCGTACCTTAATAATTTTTGTTTTGGTTTAACGAAGTTGATTTATAAGGAATTTAGCCCCACTAAATTTAAATAACTTAAATATATATGCATACGGTCATTTTAACACACTGGGAATTCATTTTTTACTAATACACAAAAGTACTTAATCTTATTTCGTGTGCGGGGATTGGAAATCTAAAATTAGTTTCGTTCCGAAAGCTATGATTTTTTTTTCCTTCTTTTTTTCTTTTTGATTTTTTNTTTTTTTTTTTTTTTTTTTTTTTTTTTTTTTTTTTTTTTTTTTTTTTGAAATGGAAAAGAAATAATGTATAGGGTTATATTCACAAATTCGTACTTGTTTGCTCTTTTAAAAATAAAACTTAAGACAAAAAGCATAAGCCCTCAACGAATCATATCCTGAACTTAAATGTAATATCGCTTTCTTCCAACCACTTCCTACGTAGCAGAGAAGTGAGAACACTTACTATTCACTTGCGGGAATTTAGAAGAAACTTAGTGAGAAAATTCTACTCAAACTGTAATTGTAACGCACTGAAGGTGTGATATTATTCAAGTGTTCTTAAGAGGGACTATAAGGTTCTTCCCATTTTTAAGCTGTAATGAACTAGTATTTGCAAAAATATTTTCATTTTCATTTAATTAAATTAGTTTTTGATGACTTTGATCACCACTAGACATAAATAATTAAAATAAAAAGTATTATAAAAGATCTTATTCAAAAAAGAAGATTGCATTGCAGAGTCAACTTAATTCCTGCTAACCGTATTAAAATTAATAGCTATATCCTTACTATTTTCAAAGAATCTTAAGCAGAGGGTGAAAAAAAATGCTTTGATGTGATTCTCAATATCAATAGTTTTTGATAAATTAAATAATAGTTTAATATATAATTTAATAAAATATTTAGCAGACCTATGATTTTTTCCTTAAACTATCAGTGGCTAGATAGATTTCTTTTATGTTGAAATAATTTATCTTCTTATGAAATGAATTTTAGCTAGATATCTTATTTTAATAAATAGCTCGTTACCTTTTCGTTAAAATAAATCATCGCAAAAATTTTTTTTCCAATGAAATAATTAAAAGCTCGTTAACTTTTTGATAAAATAAATAATTACAAAAACATACTACCAAATAAAAAAAATTATAGCTCTATTATTTTTTACATTGATTGTTATATTTTGAAAGTTAATATTAAAACTAAATATATTGATGAAAAAGAAAAACAAGAGTTCAAGAGAATTAGAGTATTGGGAGAAATTTGCCTTCGCGAAGTTTGTTGTTAGTCAAAAAAGCAAACAAGCCTGCATTTCCGTTACGTGGAGAGGAAAAGCACGGTTAGCCTTACGGCAAGGAGACTTTAACCCATGATCCGTCTACCAATGAAGATGTTTTCGACTGTGTGGTTAGCGCGGGGCGGGTGTGGAATTAGTATCGACCCATCATCATTGGGATTCAAACCTGGGTTCACCCCATGGAGAGGCGAAAACTATATCCTCTGAGCCTCTACGGCTCATTGTAGGATCAATAACTAAATGTCATTTTTGGTGAAATAATTAATAATAGGTAATAAGGTATTGAAGAAAAATTATAAAATATTGCTTTTGAAGAATAGAAACTTACCTAGAAGGCCCAACATGGCAAATACAACAATGGCTAAGAAAAGTTTGAAATTCATATTGAAACTTTGAAATAGGATTCAATGTGATAGGACAAAGAAAGGCACTCACTTTTATACTGAGACAGGCAAATTAATAAATAATATAAAACAAGAAATATCGTATTTGCAGACACATCTTTTTCAATTATAAAATACTTTTCTGATTCGATATATTAACTATAAATATAAACTATACGCAATAAAATTCTTATTATTATTTTATCTATCTATACATTCATATTGTTAAAGAACTATGTATCAATTTAAATGCTTTGAATTTTATTCCCCCCCTAACTGAATCAATAAAATTGATTAAAGTTTGATGTAATAGTATACCACTAAGGGGTGCTTCGGCTTCAATAATATTTTTCGATACATTTATAGACTTATGTGGACAATAAAAATATTTCATTTGAATTCAGCTATTAAATAAAATTTTATTGAAATAAATAAAAATATTTAAACTTTCAAAACAAATTTGTTGATAGAATATTCTACGCACAACTGTACCTACGTACCCTATGCCCAAAAAATTGGTGTTATTGATAAACGAAACGTTTTTTTTTTTGTAGCTTTAATACTAATTTGCGCAATAAAATTTTCAAGAATTGAGTTTTTTCTCAATTGTTAAGAGTTAAAAAAATTTGCAATAACGTTGAATGTTTTCAGGAGGCTGCGAATAATTTGTTGAGAAATAATGATTTTCCTTATAATTATTGTAATTTTAAATTTTTGATTTGGAAAATGATTGAGGAATATTAGTTTATTATTTCTTTTAAGAGGGCGATATTAAAATCTTGACTGAGCAGCCCTAGTTAAGCATTATATTAATCTGTTACGCAATCTTTTCCTTCCCTTTCCTTTTTTTCTTCCTACTGCGCATTTTAACAGAGGGCGTTGTTTTCTTTTATTTCAAATGTTTCTTTTACATTGAGTTAGTTTCATGAAATTGCTGCTTGACCAGTTCACTGTGAGTTTTTTTATATTTTCACTTTGTAATATATTTTTAAAATTTTGTATGAAATTTCTGTTATGATTTGATTTTATGTATTTCTTGTATTTTTCCTGGACCTTTGCAAAACCATCGGGGTACTGAAAGAGCAAATTTTTACATTTGTCTGACTCTTTCAATAGAAAAGGTTTTGTTCTATGGCTTCCGGAGCTGGTACCCCCTGAAGAGGTCGGCTTCGGTGGCCATATTTTTATTTCCATCGTTTTTTTCTTTATTGCTTCTATTATTCTTTCTTTTGAAAATTCTGCTGCTTTGAGCGTTTCTTTCAAAGAAAGTTCTGTTACTATGGAATTAAATAGTTCGTATTCTTTTACTTATTGTAAATCAAATTTATTAAATCAAAAAAGTAGCAGGATAGTATAGCAGAAAATTTACCACTTTAAATATTTAAAAAAAGTTTACTAAAAAAGACTAAAAAAAGTGAACATGTATGATTATTTAAATACTCCTAAATATTTGCTGAGATATGAGTATAAAAAATAAAATTAAAAAGAATTTTATTTGCGAAGCAAATTCTTATCGTTTTTGAAAAAAAAAGTTATTTCAACTGCAATTTTTTAGCAAGGGATCAAAATAAAAAAAAGGGCTTGATCATCTGGCAGTAATTGTTCATGGAAATATTTAATTCCAAAACTATTTATACATTTGAGCTACGTATTCATATGTAGGGTAGATTGAACAAATAAGAATTACTATATTATTGTATTGTATAATAAGGGCAATAAATGTGATATTTATGGACTTTTTAATGTGGGCAGTATAATTTTATTTGAAAAATTCAGAAAAGTCCTGAATCCACTGAAACTTCATCTCCACTGAAAGCTGAGAATTAGTGTCGAAAATATTCAATTTGTTTATCGTAAGAAAAAAAGGGAAAAAAATACAATATCTAACACTATTTAACTCACCAAATTTCAACAGTGTGAAAGGCAACTTATCATGATCTGGTACATAACTCAAATTTCACTTGGCATGACCATGCAAAAAAGAGTTCAAAGACATATCAGCGAGTGCAATAAATAAATTCACCATCCAATCGAAATGAGATATTTAACTAAAACGAATAAAGTATGTTTTGATGATTAGACAAACACCCACACATATGCATCACCAGCATGGGGCAACGTTTCAAAAACTAAAATGAAGAAAAGCCAAATCAAAATATATTAATACAATAGTGTGAGGTGTTCGGCGCATTAAATGTTTGTTAGTCTTAAAACCCAAAAAAAATTTTTCGTTTCGGCATTGAAAGGTTGTCGCTTACGAGGGTGAATACATTATTAATTAAAAATAAAATCTTGATAATAAGTATGAAATGCACCGAAACGGCATTACTTTCCGGTCCACCTAATGTATTAGGCGAGTAACGAATTCAAATGTATTTCCTCATGCCGCATCTTTTAAAAATGATTCGAAATATTTTCTTAACAAGTTAGCCATATTACAAAATATGAAAATAGAATCATAAATAAAGGATAGAGGCATCATTTTTAATGGCACATGTTTACTCAAGTACAGAAGTGCGTTTGATTTGTTAGTTACCTTGGATTGGTCCGAAACTGGATGTGCGTAACATAATAGTATTGTACAGGATAATTCAAAGTTTATAATTAATAAGGTTGTTGTCCACAGGGCTCCTGCCTAGGACCC